GAGCCGCAGCCGAGAAAGCCCTGGCTCTAGTTGAGGCCAGCCTAACCTCTCTGAGGCCTGGGACCTTCAGGATGTTTTTATTTGCAGACCGTAGGTTCCTCTGTGGGGCATACCAGGAGAGGCGGTCCCGTAGGTACGAGGGTCCTAGGCCGTATAGGGCTTTAAAGGTTAAAACCAGCACCTTAAACCTGATCCTGTACTCCACCGGGAGCCAGTGCAGCTGGTATAGTACCGGATGAATGTGATCTCGCAGCGAAGACCCCATAAGGAGTCTCGCCGCGGCATTCTGCACCCGCTGGAGTTTCTGGGTCAGTCTCAAGGGCAGCCCCACGTAGAGCGAGTTACAATAATCCAGTCTGGAGGTGACCGTCGCGTGGATCACAGTGGCTAGGTCAGGGCGAGAGAGATAAGGGGCCAACTGCTTAGCTTGGCGGAGATGAAAAAATGCCGCCTTTGTTATAGCTGTAATCTGCGCCTCCATAGAGAGGAAGGTATCGAAGATTACACCCCAACTCTTCACTGACCTGGCTGGCACTAATTGCACCCCGCAAGAGATGGGAGTTGCCCCCAATCCCATATCGTCCCGTCCCAGCCAGAGGACCTCTGTCTTCGAAGGATTTAACTTCAACCGGCTTCCGCGTAACCATCCAGCCACAGCTTCCAAACATCTGGTCAGTGTGTCTGGGGCCGAGTCAGGATGGCCATCCATCAACAGATAGAGTTGGGTGTCATCGGCATACTGATGGCAACCCAGCCCAAAACTCCGGACAAGCTGGGCGAGGGCGCATAAAGATGTTAAAAGCATCGGGGAGAGTATCGCACCCTGAGGCACTCCACACACCAAGGAGTGGCGGGATGACAATGCCCCCAAGCGCCACCCTCTGTCCCCGACCGGAGAGAAACGAGCGCAGCCATTGAAGGACTGTGCCCTGGATCCCCACGTCGGCAAGGCGGTGGTCCAGGAGTTCGTGATCAACCATGTCGAAGGCTGCTGACAGGTCTAGAAGAATCAGCAGCCCCGACCCGCCTCGATCCAGCTGCCTGCGGAGATCATCTGTTAGGGCGACCAGAGCCGTCTCGGTCCCATGACCAGCGCGGAAGCCAGACTGGAATGGATCCAGAGCCGATGTTTCATCCAGAAACCTACCAAGCTGTTCAGCAACCGCTCTCTCAATCACCTTACCCAGGAATGGAAGATTCGAAACCGGGCGGTAATTGGATAGATCTAAGGGATCTAATGATGTTTTCTTTAAGAGCGGGCGCACCACTGCCTCCTTCAATTCCCTGGAAATATCCCGGTGCCAAGGGACAAATTGATGATATCTCCCAGGGGCCCGCACCTCGCCTGGACACGCTCTAATCAGCCAAGACGGGCACGGGTCAAGAGGACAGGTGGTGGGCTTTCCAGCTCGGAGGAGTCTGTCCACATCGGCTGGGGATATCCGATCAAAGTGGTCCAATACTGGACCCGAGGACAGTCGAGGGGCCTCCAGTTCCTTTATTGTATCCAAATTGGCAGGGAGGTCATGGCGGAGCAACAGGACCTTCTCCGCAAAAAGCTCGCAAATGCCTCACAGCTGTGTGTCAGATTGTTATTTAAATTTGGCTGTCCTTCAAGGGACGTTAAAGACCTAATTATACTAAATAATTGCGCCGGGCGAGAGCTAGCGGATGCAATGGAGGCCGAGAAGTAAGACTTCTTAGCGGCCTTCACCGCCATCTCATAGGTTTTCATAAAAACCCTATAAGATGTTCTTGAGGCTCCGTCACGGGCACCCCGCCATACTCGCTCTAGCCGTCTGAGGTCCCGCTCATTTTCCGAAGCTCCTCGGTAAACCAGGGAGCCCGGTTTCTGCGGAGTCGCAGAGGGCGCTTAGGTGCGATCTCATCTATGGCTGCCAGGAGCTGGGTATTCCAGCCCTCAACAAGCTCAGTCAATGAGTCGCCAGGGGGAGCAAGGTCCCACAAGGCTTGACGGAATCTATCAGGGTCCATCAGCCTCTGCGGGCGAGCCCAAATCGGCTCGCCACCTAAGCAGGGTGGGGGTGGAAAGTCAATCCTGGCTTTCAGAGCGTAGTGATCAGACCATGGCACCTTAATTGAAGGAGACATGATCACATCTATACCTACGCCAAAGATCAAATCCAGCGTGTGGCCTGCTTGATGTGTGGGGCCTGAAAAAAACTGGGAGAGCCCTAGTGTTGCCATGGAAGACACCAGGTCCAGAGCCTGTGAGGAGGGAGTGGCATCAGCATGGATGTTGAAGTCCCCCAATACCAATAGGTTAGGGAACTCCAAGGCCCAGCCGGCCACCGCCTCCAGTAGGCCTGACAGGGTGGCTGCTGGTGCGCTAGGTGGCCGGTACACCAGCCAGACAGCCAAGCTCACCTCAGAGCCCCACACTAGGCCAACACATTCAATGCCGGGGATCGATGGCGATGGTAGAGCCCTGAAAGGACAATCTTCCCGGATTAATAATGCCACCGCTCCCCCCCGGCCCACAGTCCGTGACTGGTGGAGGACGGAGAAACCCAGGGGCGCCATCTCTCGTAAGGTAACTGTTGCCCCTTCGCGTACCCAGGTCTCCGTCACACAAGCCAGGTCAACCCCCTGCGAGGTAAAGAAATCTCGCAGAGTGGCGGTTTTGTTGCCTATAGACCTGGCATTGCACAACACCAGTGACGGAGGTGAGTAATCCTTACTGGGATGCCACTTTTTAAAATGTGATGTGGATTATTGGGTGGTCTTTGTTTTTGTTTTTATTATATATTTTGTGTGTTTTATATTGTAATTTTTATGTTGTGGGTCACCTGAGATCTACATGTATAGGGCAGTATACAAATATAAATAATAGTAGTAGTAGTAGTAGTAGTAGTAGTAGTAATCAGGTCTGTGGCCTACACAAAGACAAACTTATCATATGAAGGTTTCTCTGACCATAAACTATATTTCTTTTGGCTCTCCTCATACCTCGTTAATTAAAATACAATGAAGACTTTTTTCTCCCAACTTTAAATGTTCTTCCTTTAAGAATGTGAGCTTTTCAGGTCCAGTGGTTTATTTTACCTTTTGTTGCAAGATGTCCACAGACATTATGGGTATATCATATCTTACTCTACATACAGTGAAGTTTATAACAAGTCACATCCAAGCAACAAGCAAAAACGTAGTCTTAGAACATACAGAAATAATTAAAGGTACCCTTCGGTTAAGGGACGTGGGTGGCGCTGTGGGTTAAACCACAGGGCCTAGGGCTTGCCGATCAGAAGGTCGGCAGTTCGAATCCCCAGGACAGGGTGAGCTCCCATTGCTCGATCCCTGCTCCTGCCAACCTAGCAGTTCGAAAGCACGTCAAAGTGCAAGTAGATAAATAGGTACCGCTCTGGCGGGAAGGTAAACAGCGTTTCCATGCGCTGCTCTGGTTCTCCAGAAGCAGCTTAGTCATGCTGGCCACATGACCTGGAAGCTGTACACCGGCTCCCTCGGCCAATAAAGCGAGATGAGCGCCGCAACCCCAGAGTCGTCTGCGACTGGACCTAATGGTCAGAGGTACCTTTACCTTTACCTTTACCCTTCGGTTGCTTTAAATAGGATCCCATCAGAAACTGCTCCAGACAAATCTGACCATATTTTGGGATTGCTGCTTAATCTGAATGATAAGTTTTGAATAAGATTCTGATGAGAACCATGAATGTATCTACCTATCTATTAAAGTAGACAGGAGAAGGGGCAAACATTGTGAGGTGATGTGTAGAACAGAAAATGTGTTTACCTGCAGCATTTAAAAATTAATTTGTCAGTCATTTCCCATTTTTTTACAGTACCTCAATTTCTTCCACTACCAAAAATAAAAATCCCTTCATATCGCTTGGTTACATGAAAAATAATGTAAGAATTATTGGCTGTATGCTGTCAAATATATGCTAAGTTGTGCTTTAGTAAAGGTAAAGGGACCCCTGACCATTAGGTCCAGTCGTGACCGACTGGGGTTGCGGCGCTCATCTCGCTTTATTGGCCGAGGGAGCCGGCGTGCAGCTTCGGGTAATGTGGCCAGCATGACTAAGCCACTTCTGGCGAACCAGAGCAAGGCACGGAAACGCCGTTTACCTTCCTGCCGGAGCAGTACCTATTTACCTACTTGCACTTTGACGTGCTTTCGAACTGCTAGGTTGGCAGGAGCAGGGATCGAGCAATGGGAGCTCACCCTGTCCCGGGGATTCGAACTGCCGACCTTCTGATCGGCAAGTCCTAGGCTCTGTGGTTTAACCCACAGCGGCACCCGCATCCCTAAGTTGTGCTTTAGAAAGCCACAAATACAGTGGCAGATAGGAACAAGAAGACTAATTTATATTGACCTGACTATATTATATGAGACAGACCTTATTTATTTATTTATTTATTTATTTATTTATTTAAAAAGTAGTAGCAACTTATTTCCGTCTACACAGCAAAGCTTCTAATTTCAAAGCAATATCAATTACCATTACAGCATTTATGTCCTTTCACTACCTGGTCCTATTTTCGGAGATTCCTGGACAGGGTAACCTGCTTTTCAGTAGGTCCTGCTCCAGGAGGACCTTTTCTGACAGCCTCTTTAGCCAATTAGAAGGCTACTTGGGGGCATGATCCCACCTCCAGGTCTATTTTAGAAGTGCTTTCCCCACAATTTTATGTTTGGAACAGATATCTTTTTGTTTCCTGTTGTTGTTCTTTATTAACCAATTCAAATGGTTTTCTTGAGTACTGATTCAATGCAATTTACCATAAAGCCACAAGCTGATAACAAGAAATATATTGAAGATATCCATCTGGTTTGTGTTGAGAGCCTTGTTCATTTCATTCTCCATGGTTGTCATTTGCCTTACTAATTGCCTCATTACAACTGCTTTACAATCAGTATGACTTAGTCATTAACGTGATGAAAGGCCTACTGAAGAGCAGCTAGATATTAAAAAGCATAGATCTCTGACCTACAATTCTTGGGCATTCCACAGCTTATCTCTAGCTTTATTAAAGTGTGTGTGTGTGTGTGTGTGTGTGTGTGTACACACACACACACACACACACACACACACACTTTGAAATTAAAATGGATCTACTGGCCCTGAACATCTCCTTCAGTTATCTTGCCTTTAGAAAACTGATTAAATGAGAAACTGAAATACTCTATAAATTTTTTACTTTCAAGACATTTTATTTCCCTTGCTGTTTACCATTCTAGTCAGTTAAGTGGCTTTAAATGATGTTATTGTTCACATAAATAAGGAAAGAAAGACAGAACCATGTGATGTTCCTAAATATTTGTTTCACTAGGTGAGATCTGACAAAGCAAATACTCTGCACAGGAAGAGACAAGTGTTTTATTGTGTGGATTACATGTTTTTATTTCTTAGTATTTTTCTTGTGGGGACTAGAGCTAATGGTTTTTGTAGCATCTTCTCATGACCTCCCATATATATGTGTGTATATATAAAGGCTCAGAAGTTTAAAACAATTTGCAGATTATCCCTTCCTTCCATTTAGGCAGTCATTCAAGTTGCAAAGAAAATAAGGAAACAAGGGTTGGAACATAACTGTTCTGCTGGGATAGCCAAAGGTCCATCTAGGTCAGCATCCCCTTTCCAACAGCATCCCGTCAGATGACTCTAGTGAGCCCAAAAGTGTTAAGCCTTAAGCCTTATGTAGAAAGCTACCTTATATTGAGCATTATTCCTCCATCTAGCATGACATTTTCTACACTGACTGGCAGAGGCTCTCCAGAATTTCAGACAGGGTGGCATTCCCAGATTTACCCTGAGTGCTTGGGAATTGAACATGGGATCTTACATCAACAGCAGATTCTCTACCACTGAGCTATGGCAGATGAGGCAGCAGATTGAGACAAGATTTCCTGGAAACAGTGGGAAAGAGATGAGGCAAAGCCAGGTAGGATCAGGACGGAAAAGTAGGTTCTGGTATCCATCCATCATGCTGCAATCCATATTTATAGCTGTATTTCCATACAGATACTTACCATTTGTCTGGTATTTCCCTACTACGGGAAAGTGCCACAAAACAGCTGCAACTGAATTATTTGGTTGAAAGGGCGAATGTTTTTCAGCACACTGGTGCATTTGCTGAATCACTTCAGCTTTTAAACGATTTTGAGGTGTTGTTCCCAATATTTTTAACATGTTTGTTTAGCAGTAAGGGGAAATTGCACTTGTAATGAACTTTAGGAATTAAAGCTTTGAAAGGTGACTCTTTTTATTCTTCTCAGGAATACACACTGCATTGTACACAGCTTTGTGAAGTATGCTTACAATCCTAAGGTTGTAGTTTAATTGTGCAATCTTAAGCACACAGGAAGATCCTGGAGAGAAATTAGTTAGAATTCCCTTTTTAATGAAACCAAATGTCAAAATATAAAGAATATTACTTGGAGAAAGAATGAACGGAGGAAAATAGGAAGGCAACAATTGCACACAGAGGTAATATAATGGTATAAAATCAGCAAAGAAGAAGAGGAGGAGGAGGAGGAGTTTGGATTTGAAATCCCGCTTTATCACTACCCTAAGGTGTCTCAAAGCGGCTAACAATCTCCTTTCCCTTCCTCCCCCACAACAAACACTCTGTGAGGTGAGTGAGGCTGAGAGACTTCAGAGAAGTGTGACTAGCCCAAGGTCACCCAGCAGCTGCATGTGGAGGAGCGGGGACGCGAACCCGGTTCACCAGATTACGAGTCCACCACTCTTAACCACTACACCATGCTGGCTCTCAATGCAAGGAATTCAACATAGCAATGGGGCAATCTTCAGCACAAGCATTTCAGCTTTCCAGAGGGAACAATCTACCGTCACCTCAGTGCATGCTGTTTTGGGGAAAGGAGTCTCTTAACCCCCCAAGCCAATTTCAGAGGAGAGGCAGGGGAAAGTGGGGGGTGGAAAGTGCTGTTGCACCAGCAGACATCTTTATGCAGGCTTCTGCTAGCAGGACTCGTTAGTTGGATCCCACCCAATTTAATTTAACTAGCTGCATGATAGCAGCTCAGAGCATCTTTGGACTCCTGATAATATGTTTCCAGGAAAACAAGATTGTGAATGAAGCCTCACATACTGATTGGGTACCTGAGAGCTGCAAAAGACAGTATGTTCTTAAGTCCAATGGTGAAAGAAGCTCTGTTTCTGATGTAAGTGGTACCCTCCAGATATTGATGGATATTATCCCTGACTATTAGCCATTCTGGCTGAGAATGATTGAAGTTGGAGCCTAACAATATCTGGAGGGCACAAGGTTGGGGGAAACTGATTCGTGCGATGAATTAGAAATTTTAGAGGACTACATAATAACTGTTGAGCTCCCATTGCTCGGTTCCTGCTCCTGCCAACCTAGCAGTTCGAAAGCATGAAGTGCAAGTAGATAAATAGGTACTGCTCCTGCGGGAAGGTAAACGGCGTTTCCGTGCGCTGCTCTTGTTCACCAGAAGCGGCTTAGTCATGCTGGCCACATGACCCGGAAGCTGTACGGCGGCTCCCTCGGCCAATAAAGCGAGATGAGCGCCGCAACCCCAGAGTCGGTCACGACTGGACCTAACGGTCAGGGGTTCCTTTACCTTTACCTTACATAATAACTGTAGACTTACATCAGCAGAGCTAGCAAGTTCTAACAATGCAGCATTCAGAGACAAAACACAGGATATACGCTTATTCACGCTGCACGAGAGGGGTCTGCAGATCTCTGACACTCTGGTTAGAACTGCTGAGCTATGTCAGAATATAGGAGTCATATTCCCAATACTGTTCAATTTGGACAGTGCTTGTTTTCTTGAACAGCCAGACTAAACTGGACAAGATCCTAGTTTGCAACAAGACATTAGTAACAAGACATGTTGTTTTACCCTACATCAGGGCTTCCCAAATTTAAGAGTTGCTGAACATAAGAATCTGTTGCGTCAGGCTAATGACCCATCTTGTCCAGCATCCTGTTCTCACAGTGGCCAATCAGACAGCTACTAGGCTAAGCTCAAGGTGCTGGCTTTGGTTTATAAAGACTTATACAGCTTGGGAGCAGAATATTTGAAAGGTTGTCTCACCCCTTTTATCCTAAGTTGATCACTGTGCTGTGCAGGGGAGGGCCTTCTGCAGATACCATCCAATTGGGAGGCTGTTCTGTACAATGTAGGAACCAAGTTTCTACTGTTGTGGCACCCACCCTTTGGAATTCCCTCCCCTTGAATAGTAAACAGGTGCCATATCTTTTTGTCACCTGTTGAAAACCTTCCACAAGCTTTTTAAGTTGAGATATTTCCCATTTCTCTGGTGAATTTGCTTTCAATGTGTTTTTATTGTTTTGTTACTTGTTGTTTGCTACCATGGGCTCCTCTGAGAGGAAAGGTGGGAAATAAATTTAAAGGAGGAGGAGGAGGAAGTCGTTGACCAAAACTCAAGCTCTTAGAAACGTAAACAAAATAAAGTCAAGAAATATAAATACATAATGAGTATTTTTTAATTAATCCCCAATTGTCACCACTAGTAATCATAGAACGTAGAAAGAAAGAAAGAAAGAAAGAAAGAAAGAAAGACAGAAGTGAAAAATAACACCATACTTATTATATTGTCTAATGAGATGAATGGCCCTGATGGGCTTTAACAAGTGCATGAATATTGGGCTATAGGTGGTTTGAGAGAGTTAGAAGCCAGAACACTAATACCGCTTGGAAGCTGCATACTTTTTTGTTTTTATTCAGCCCAAGCTTCCAAAACTTGGATTTGAACCTAGATTTAAAGAAGATTTGCCAAATGTGCTATGTTCCGTATGAGAGAATATGCTCAGTCTGACCTCATGCTGTTGTTCCAAAGATCTTATCTCGCCCTATAGCCAAGCACAGTGAGCCAGCATCTTTCCATGCAGCATCAAAGAAGCTTGAGGACCATGGCCTTATTCTATCGCTGTTATAATGTCATCTCTCTAAGGGAACTTTTAACTAGCACTTCTAATACTTGCATCCTAATTATAAAACACAGGGGCAGCTGTTGCTTTTAGAGGAACACTTTGGTTGCAGGGCACCAGTGGAAACGCTACTGCTACCCAGCCAGAAGGCAAACTCTCCCCGTGAACAGCAGTCTGTGCTGAAAATGGCGATAGTAATTTTCTCTCCCGACAAGAAATAACTCTGCGGACCTCTCTATGTTAAATGATTTGATTTCTCCTTCTTTTCCACTCCATCTGGTGTATTTCTTTGTAGCTTCAAGCTGTTTAACAACATGGATAATTTGGTTTGCAGTAAAAATCAATGAAGCCTAATTGTCCACTTACCATTTGAAAAGTGTTTTAGAAATGCTTCCAAAAAAAAGTGGAATGTTCACGTTTTCATACAACTCATTTTAAAGCCGTGAATCATAACGGAACATTCCTCATCCTGCATTATGGTCATCTTGTAAGATGTTGTACATTCTGGCTTCCAAGATGGCTGAACTTGTTAATACAGCAGATGCATGAAAATTATATAAGCAAAGGATAGTGTTGTTCAGGCTGCTGACAAACGATTCTCTGAATTAAGATTGGAATTAAAATTAATTTGTCCTTGCACCGAGGAGACAACACCAGGGTGCAGTGAGGCAATGGAACAACCTCTTTAGAGGACAAGTAATGTTTTTGCCATGCCTCTTTATCACAAATTATTTAATCATGTAGATATGCAGCAGCTTGCATCTAGATTCATTCCTGCCAGGAGAAGAGTAGAGGCAACATTTGCCAATTCTTCCTACATCCCTCTCCCAAAAGCTTCTCTGGAGGGTTGGAAAGCCCTCTTGAACAGTGTGGAAGTGGCACTGGAAGCTTCATATAGAAACGAAATAGGCAAAAGTCACTCCCCCTTCAAAAGCTTTTTGTGGACAGAAGCCTGGATACAACCAAAAAGATTTACCTCCTGGTACCAATTCAGGCTGACTGAAAAAATGGTACAGTAAATCAAATCAGTAAATCGTAAGGGAGACAGAGAAGGCATCCTCATTTGCAGGTTTCTATAATGAGGTTTCTAGTATAGTTTTAGTTGTGTTGTTTCTTTTGTCACCATATGCCAGGATCTGGAATAGCGGAATAAAAATCGTTGTGAA